AACAAAATGCGCATGACAATCGCATTCGGTTAATCGTGCAGCCCTAATTATGCCTATAGAATTTAAATTTTGGGGTCAACTAGGCCTAAATATTAAAGGTTAGAAAACCCCAATTAGGCCAACACATATATTTGTGCTATAGACATAAATAATACCTCAAATCGTGTGGTTCATTGAGGACATTGTTCTCAAAATCTGATTAAAAAAAAAAAAAGTCGTCAAATGCTTAAGACACACAGTGCAACCAAAACTTGTTATGATGCAGAAAGTTCCTACTTGCACCGCTGAACAAACCCTCTTGAAGGTTATGAGGAATTTGAGAGCTATGACTGGTAAAGTATTTGCCGACTGCTGACAACTTGAATACTGTTGCTGACAAGAACAAGAATCCTTCTGCAGACAGCTGACAGCTTCTGGCATCATTCAAAGCAAATATAAACATTTTTGGAAAGGCCACTAACTCACATATTCACACAGCTAATCGAATTGTTTGAATGCATAAGCAATGTTAAAATCAGCTTTATCTGTTGCTCATCTACTTTCTACAGAAGTTGTTCTTCGGCCCTAAACAGCTGGTTCAGCTGACACACACAGTCCAGGACGCTTCAAATGCCCAAGGCCTCAGTGATCAAAGCCCCTTTATACAGGAGAGACAATGAGGTTAACAGAGGCACTGTAATTGAATCATCAGACCTGTCATTAATGCCAGAGAGCTTGTGGGGGCATCCTCAGAAATAATTACCACCAGCAAACAGCATTAATTAAACCCTCACCTAACCACTAAGCTGGAAAAACAGATAACAAGCAGTTTTGCTGCTTTCCACATTACGTCAAACCTGACAAGCCTCCAAGGATTTTGTGAGAATGTTTTGGTCACTACAGATACGTCAGAGGAGTAATCAACAAGGTGATTACTATAATCACGGTTATCTTTATTTTTATATCAGAAAACAGACAGTACACATTCTCTCTTACGTTTCAATATAAATCAAGAGTTTTCATGATCATATTATTATTATCATGGTTCCCTTCCCATGCATTTTTGACCAATTAATTTCCTAAATGATTCCAGTTGCTCATCCTATAAAACTTAAAAAAAAAAAAAAAAAGAAGCAATTTCTAGGTGATAAAATATATTAGGAGAAAAAAATATATATCTGTATAATATCTGTAAAATAAAAATCATATTATCTACAAAAATTTCCAAATGAATTGTTTATTACAACTTCGTATTCTGTGACCTAAGGAAACATGTTTTATTATCATCATCATCATCATCATGATTAATACTATACGTCATAGCAATACTTTAGTAATACTTCAAAATAACTTTGTGAGTTATTTGGTCAACAAAAGTGGAATTTCACATTTGCCAAAAAGCTGCATATTTTAAAAAATGTTACCAATTTAAGTGCACATTTTTGGTTTTCATATTTTTACGAATTTAAGTATGTTAAATGTTCATTAATTTTACATTTTAAATTTTGTCTGGTTTATTTCCCACCATTAAATTGCTTTATATCCACATTATAAAACCATCTTCCACCTCTATATCTATCGGTTTTAGCGATAGCCACTGAAAAATCTGCATAATAACACCATTAACAAACATAGCATTACACTTTATAACGCTGAACAAGTGAACGGTTAATGTACAGAATTAAAGTTACATTACTATTATTATCATCATCATTATATCACACCATGGAAAATCCAAAATTGCCAAACAACACACTTCATATCTATACAGCATATCAGAGGGACAGAAATAAAATCTCAACATAAATGTATAACTGGTTAAAGCTAGCTAACTTTCTAAAAATTATTCCATTACATCAAATAGACGCGATTCACCTATTTAAGACAACAAATAAATCACGTTCACAACAATGTCTGACTCTTATATAATAATAACAATCCTTAAAACTACAATAGGGTTTCAGCACTACGTGCTTGAACCCCTAATAATACAAAAATAAAACTGTTAGCTGATGCAATGCCTGCAACACGAGTTAACCTCGATCTGAAACCTCACAGACGTGGTTAATGGTTAGCCGGCTAACGTTAGCCAAACACATTTAAAAAAAGATGACGCTCACCAAATGTGAGAGTTCTTGATCTGTCGGCGCGTGACAGGTCCGTTATCTGACAGTCCAGACTGAACGGAGGGACATGGGGCAACCCGTTTAAAACCGAGAGACCGGATAGCTTTGTTTTGTTTTTGTCTTCTTGACCCATTCACAAGACAGCGACGTGGAACACGCAGGGCGGGGGGAGATGACGTCATTGTTGAGCACCGCTCTAAAATAAATTACGAATTCTACTTAATATTCAGCAGCCAAAGCCTTCGCCATTGGAAGGCGAGAACGTGGCCTCATTGAATATTCATGAGACACGCCTCTTCCACTGGAATAATTACGACACCTTTTTTTTTTTTTTTTTTTTAAGATGTAGTTAGAAAGTAGATGGAAGACGATTTTAATGCATGAGAAAATTGGTCACAGGTGGTGCACGTGGCGAATCTCTTGTTTTTAGTTCATGATGTCTTTAATAATTTACTCATTTACTCAACGTTTTCGTTATACTGAAAGCCTTATGAATTAATAAATGCAAAGGATTGTTTTTCCGAGTCTGTTGCAGACTCGCAGTGAATTTGCATAAGGGTCAAAGACGAAAAAAGGTTTTCAAACATCAAAACCATAAAGCTGTTTAGTACAGCTTTACATGTTTCCATACATTAGATTAATCAGTCCTGATTAATTTTATTTATTTTTCTGAGCAAAAAAAAAAAAAAGACTATCAAACATTTATCACAGTGCAGCCCCTAAAAAACAAATAATTTAAATTGTAAATCTTTGCCACTATCGCCAAAACCACGAGGTTTTACTCATTTGTCAGCAAGAAGTAAAATGTAATCACGTCATTATATACATAATTCATTTTTCACTCATTAATTTTTACATAAATGGTCATGCTGAATGACGATGGAACATTTCACACATTTTGACGTTTTTTTGTTTTTTTTCGCAAGTTATTTGAAACATTAAAGTGCTTGCATTTAATATGTGTTCTATGTATAGACTATAAAATCACTTCTGTAAACTGAATTTGATGCGCACACCAAAATGGGACATCTCGTGTTTGACCCATGGGTCAATATCACCATAGAGTGCCTTTCAACCCTCACAATACTCAAATATTTTGGTCTTAATTTCCCATTCGCTTTATGTTATGTCATAAATAGTAGATACTTAAGTACTATAGAAACATATTAGCTGAGCTCCCACACATTTTTTTTTTTTTGATAATTATGGGCCATTATTCGAAGCATAGACCATAAGATATGTCCACCCTGTCATGGACATATACACAGTATATTACTGTTAAACACATTTTTTTCTGAAAGGTATGATGTCCCTTTCCTAAACAGGGTTATTTGTTTGCTTTCAAATTATAAATACATAAAAGATTTTATGTAAACCATGTCTTTTTAAAGAAACTCATACAATTCGCACATGTATTTTTTTTTTCTTATTTTGAGAAAACTGATATTTGGATGCAGTTTTTTTGTTTGCTTGTTATTGCCTCCACACCTAGCTATTGAACACTCTGGATTATATAGGTATGATTGAATTATTTAAAATATCAAGATGACAGGGTGGACCAGCACATGACGGGGTGGACACATAAAGCAGAACACACAAAGAATGACAAAATGTGACTGTTACGGCCTGTGCCTTGAGTGTTTCATTGTTCTCTATGTGGGACGACGTGGCTCTGCTATTTTCATTCTGTGTTGAGTCTGATTGTCTAGGTCTGCCCCTGTGCACCTGCATCTAGTTGTGCGCGTGGTTCGAGTGGCTATATGAAGGACGCTGGAGCAAAGCATGAGGGGAGAGAGGAGAGAGTAGAAACACCAGCAATCAAGCTTCTTTGTTCCTTTATTTTGTTCAGGTATTAATATTATTTTTGGGTTAATTGTCCTTTGTTAGTTATTTGGAATCTTATAGTTTGTTTTTGTGTTTTCCATAGGATATGTGTTCCCGATTTCTTGGCCCTTTAATAAATACTTCGTAATGTATTCGGGTTTCTCGTGTCCTTTCTTTAGGTTACGTTTTCCCCTTCTGACAAAATTGGGGGCTCGTCCGGGATTTTGATTTTGTTTTGTTGAGCAATTATTGTAGTTGGGCAAAACAAACTCCGGATAGGTAGAGTAAGCCAGGAGGACCGTGTCTTATGTATGGCTTACTGATTTGTTGTTTTCTTTGTTATTTTAGTTTGTTGCTTTTGGAGGTAATCCGGGGTTGGGGGGGGGGGGGTTGTCC